AGCTTTCCAGAAAATGACATCACTAATCTTTAAACCGACAGTGCCATCTAGTATAGAAACGAAGAACTAAGCTTCTAGAAGCCCGACACTCGAACTTTCGACGCCTAGTTGATTGGCGCGCGTATTTACTTGAATATTCTGGATGTTTCGTTGATAATGTGTATTTAGGCGCTGCAAGATGCGATCGGGGAAGTATTGAATTTGGCGAGACAAGCGAAACTTCGGAGCGGAATAAAGTGAATCAGTGTGATTAATTAGTGTTTTAACTTTAATTAGTGTAAAGTTAATTAAAGTGTAAAACCTCAAGCTCGTAACAATTGGTGTCAGAAGTGGGATAAAATCATGCCGATTTTACCTAAGGAGGAAACGGAGGGTGTCCGTACCCGAAGTCAACGCCAGCAGGAGACGGACCAAAGAAGATTTGGTGGTGCAACGCCGCAGACGTTGGAGGGCCAGCCGCCGGCAACGGAGGCCGGTCCGTCAGTAGCTCCTGCATCTGCAGCACCTGACTTAGGTGCTCTGATGGTTATGCTGCAGGAGCAGGCCCGTCGGTTGGAAGAGCAACTGCAGCGCGGACGAGAGGAACAGGCCCGTCTGTTGAAAGAGCAGCAGGAGGAACAGGCCCGCCGACAGGTCCGTCGGCTGGAAGAGCAGCTGCAGCGCGGACAGGAGGAACTGGCCCGTCGGTTGGAAGATCAGCAGGCGGAACAGGCCCGTCGCTTAGAAGAGCAGCTCAAACGCGACAAGGAAAAGCAAATGCTTCTCATGAAGGACCTTCACGCTACCTTCGGGAAAGAGATAAGGGAGGTGAAGGATAAGGTTGCTCAACATGATAACCGCCTGTCGGAAGCTGAGACCCAAATCAACCAAGTTAAGAAAACGCTGGATGAACTCAAACTTGGAGATGGAATTGCAGCCCCCGCAGTAGCTACAACACCTTCGCTACGTGGCTTCAAAGTGCCACCGTTCGACGGGACTTCTTCCTGGTTATCCTACAAAATCCAGTTTGAGGCTATTATGAAGGCGAACGGCTGGAATAAAAGTCAGGCCATGACTGCTCTCACACTAGGCCTGCGCGACCAGGCCTTAACAGTTCTGGAAGCTCTCGGTGAGGAAGTGACTTATGAGCAACTCCTTGAGGCATTGGATGCGAGATATGGCGACGCTCACCTGGAACACGTCTTTCGTGCGCAGCTTAAAGATCGCGTGCAGCGCATCAACGAAAACCTGCAGCAGTGGGCTCTAGAGGTGGAGAAGCTGATGCGATCGAAAAGCACACCGGTCTGTACCTGCGCTCGTTGAAGGGAACCTAGTGCAAACATTCATCGACGGCATTTGCGACCTGGAAGTCAGAGCTGCTGTGAGGCTCGGGCACCACGAGACGCTTAAGGACGCCTTGACCCATGCACTGGAGGTGCAAGCTGTGCGACAGGATCGTCGTTCCCCTCACGATAGGGAGGTTGCAGCAGTTACGGTTCGCGACCACAATAAAGGATACAGTCCTAGGTGCTATGGCTGTGGGGAAAGGGGCCATCTTTGATCCAACTGCCCTAAGCGAACTCTAGAAAGGGAAGGTGAACAATCTCAGAAGGGAAGTGCGGCTAATATCACCGCCCAGCAGCAGTCGGGATACGACTTTAATATCAGACATCGCAGCGGGAAATCTCATGGCAACGCAGATGCATTGTCAAGAAGACCTTATCCTGAAGATTGGAAACATTGTACTAGGCAAGAGAGTAAGGAAGTGGTATCCGTGAGGATGCTCAGGACAGACCACCTCAGCAACGAGTGGAAGGACAGCCTACGACATGCACAGCAGGAAGATCCGGACATCAAGCCGATTCTGGAATGGATGAAGGCCCGTGCTACCAAGACTAAGTGGAGCGACGTCTCAGCGATGAGTTCAACCACGAAAAGCTATTGGGCCCAATGGGACAGCTTGCTGATTCAGGATGGAGTCTTGAGCCGTAAATGGGACAATGGTTGAGAAGACAGCTGTCGTTTGCAAATGGTTGTCCCTAAAGCTAAAGTGCCGAATGTTCTACAGTTGTGCCATAATGGTCGTTCAAGAGTCCATCTGGAAGTTAAACGAACTCTACTGAAGGTCCGAGAACAGTTTTACTGGGTCCATTATGCGAAATAAGACACTCTTGTTTGTTCCACGTTTATTGCGAGACTGCCGCCGCGCGAAATCGTCTTACAAAAGTTTGTCGAGTCTACCGTATATCTAAAGCTAAACATATACTAAACTACAAACAATATACCACACCTACCCTTAATACAATATAAATGTCTTAAATAATAAACTTAACTTTTATATAAAACTATTTTAATCTTAAACATTTATTCTATGATATAGAGATTCCCGTAACACGAGATAACCGAATTATATATATAAAATAAATCACTATGTTAATGAAGGAAACCGTACTGGCGGATGTCTGTTTCTTACAGGGTAACGGCGGTTTAATTCGGGCTCAAACCCTTGTGGTTGTATAGCATTATTAATATCAGGCGATGTCATGCCACGCTGTGCTCCCGCCGCACCCACCATCGTGCCGGCCAACGCCGCCGGACCTTCCCCTGGGTTATTAGTATTACTAGTTACGTTGATTAGAAACGGATTTATTAAATTACGCCTGGATGACTCTTTAATCGTGATCGGGTCTTGCAAAGGAAAATTAAATCTGTGTCTTAGCTGGTCTGCGTGTCGGTGATGTGAACTTCCATCGATGCCCAAAATTTCATCAACAGCGCTGGGCTGCTTCCATTGACGTAGCTAATTTCTCTGCGCCCGTCCAGGTTAAAGAATCCTCAGCAAAAAGTCGTTGACGCATCGTCCAAAGTGTCTTTGAATTCGCACGATTTTGCCAAACGTTTTAAATCCGTTACAAACTGAGATACTGTTTCGTTTTCACTCTGCCTACGTTGGCGAAACTTATAGCGCTCTGCTAGAATTGACGTTTTTGGTTGCAAATAATCGCTCATTATTCTTACAACATCGTCGTATTTCATTTTAGCGGGTTTAATTGGGCTACACAGGTTAGTCATCAGTTCATATCCACTTTCGCCAACCACAGATATCAACGTAGGTAACTTTAATTCTTCCTTGACGCCGTTAACCAAAAAATACATTTCCAACCTTTCACAATATGCACTCCAATTTCCATTTGAAACATCGAATTCTCCGATTCTGCCCATGTTTGCCATATTTTATTATGATAAAATTCCTCGTCGCCACTGCGAAATAAGACACTCTTGTTTGTTCCACGTTTATTGCGAGACTGCCGCCGCGCGAAATCGTCTTACAAAAGTTTGTCGAATAAAAAATAAAAATATAATTTTCTTTGCAACTTTCCGCTAAACATATAAAATGATGTGTCTTACCTGGATTGAAGCGCACCTCCCGCCCTCCCTCAATTGCATACACTAACTCCGTCACCACTAGACCAAGCACCACTACTCTCAACACCACTATTCCAGGCAAGACACACCATCGACGATAATACGACACGTGTTTCGCCTCTACACGAGGCATCCTCAGGTAATATAGACTCTACGGCGGCTGACCGCTAAGTCAAAGTAAGTTTAGCGGAAAGTTGCAAAGAAAATTATATTTTTATTTTTTATTATAATGGATTTCCGCAAAGTAACGCCTGATTCTATCAAAGTTTGTCGAGTCTACCGTATATCTAAAGCTAAACATATACTAAACTACAAACAATATACCACACATTATCGTGACGATGTCGAGGATTGGTGTCGTACATGTACAAGTTGTGCGGCTGTGATGGGACCTCAGACACGTAGTAGAGGAGCATCGAAATTGTACAATGTAAAAAAATGTTGGTGCACCATGGGATAGGACAGCCCTTGAAATTGCGGAGCCATTACAGAAAGGCGCAAGAGGGACTCCTAAGATCGTCCATGTGGATCGCCTGGCGCGTTATTATGGGGCCGATAATGCTCGGGACGAGCATGTCTTAGGAGGGGGCAGTGTTGCGCGCCTAAGTTGACGTCATGTACCCGGAACTAGCGCCATCTAGTGTCGGGGAAAAGAGCGAGGAGAGTTTTCCAGAAAATGACATCACTAATCTTTCAACCGACAGCGCCATCTAGTATCGAAACGAAGAACTAAGCTTCTAGAAGCCCGACACTCGAACTTTCGACGCCTAGTCGATTGGCGCGCGTATAAAAACCAAAAAAAAATAAAGAAAAACACACGGCGGCCCCACCAACAACAACCCGCCCCCCCCCCCATTACTTGAATATTCTGGATGTTTCATTGATAATGTGTATTTAAAGGCGCTGCAAGATGCGATCGGGGAAGTATTGAATTTGGCGAGACAAGCGAAGCATCGGAGCGGAATAAAGTGAATCAGTGTGATTAATTAATGTTTTAACTTTAATTAGTGTAAAGTGAATTAAAGTGTTAATTGTGGTAATTCAATCGGCAGTTTTTATCGTCACGAACCTCAAGCTCGTAACATTTATATTTATTTCGTATAAAATATCAATCTACGAAAGACCTTCCAAAGAATTCAACATTCTGTAAGTTTGTGTTGTTTCATTGAATTGTTTATAATTTGTGTTTTACATTGTTCTTATTCCGATTTCTTTCAACAACATTGTACCATCAAACAATAAAAGGCATACCTGTAATTGGCCATACTTTTAGTTTGTTAATTACTGTATAATTTTATTAACGTTCCAATCGGAAAAACCGAAAGCCATCGCACCGCGACACCACCTAACCCATTAATTTAGAGATGCGCTGCAGCGTCTTCGTATATAATTAAAAAAAACTGCGCTAGCCCGCTTGCCAAGCGTGGCAACTATGGCAAATCTCCCCTATATGGCAATCGATGGGGGAGGCCTATGTTCAGCGGTAGACTTTATTAAGCTGTAACGTTATCGGTGATTACTCTATACGCTGTCGGTTTTCTCAATAAATTTAAAAAAGAGGAAATAATTACCGTAATGAAGATTTCTTGTTGCAGTCTGATGGGGAGCGTGGTCTTCTTCTTTATATTGCCCGAGACGGAGGGAAAGAAGCTGAACGACATCGAGAACCATTTCGCTGGTATGAAAAAACTGACCAACGAAGTCTACCGTTCGCAGGTATACATTCTCTACGCTTCACAACAAAAATTTTTGTAGCACGCATACATAGATACTATACTATTACTAGTACGTTTTATCAAAGTTTTTAATGTATACTATTAGACTGGTAATTCAGAACATAAACCGTATCACTGCTGTGGTGAGGATCCCGCGGGCACGGACTACTAGCTGGCACGGTAAATATGCCAAACAGTTGTATTTTCATTTAAGGGAAATATTGTTTTTATGCAAATACAAAATGGAGTTACATATGTAATTATCCAAAATAAACTTCAAATCAAAAAGTGCTGACAAAGTGCGCACATAAATAATCACAGCGTTTTCTTTCTCACAATAAACAAAATCAGTGCTAGATTGTCTAAAGCAACGTGTCGCCCACTCGCAGAGGCAAGGACTAAAAGGAGTTATGGAGAATTGACTGTAACTTAGCGCGCAATGTATTAAGGCTGCAGAGCCCGTCCAGTAGTATACATAGAAGCACAGAATAAATAACAGTACTACGTAATAGAAGTCTTTGGTTTTTTTTACGAATATATATAATCATATTCTTAGACCATGGACCTCACAGATATTGATTAAAATATTTTTTTTTTTCAGAAGCGGTCCACAGTTGAAGTGTCAAAAATGCACAACCTGAAAGGCGCCACCAATCCCACGTTTGTAGGAGACAACACCAATCTTTGAGAGCGATCTGCTCTAAAAAGAGGAATTTATTCTAATCCAAGTCTTGCTGAAGGCAACCTTGTGCCATTTCACAAACGTCCATGATAATTCTTTTAGTGCTAAATATTTTAACAGATTTTTAATTGCTGTTTGGAGTTGTTAGGCAATAAAAGTCAAACTATTCAAATAATTTATCGAAATATTTTTTGGAATAATGAATGTTTGCATTATAAAGAAATAGTCTATTTTTCGTTTTAAAAATTGCAGTCGGTAAACAGCGACATCTAGTACCGAATTACGAAATTGAGAACCACTAATGCCATCTTTCGGCTAAAACTGAAGATTTCAATCAGGGTACCTGGAGGATTTTTTAAAAATTGTAATAGGTGTAGTTCACAACAAAACCTTCGAATTTAATTTTAATAGATCCTTTATATACTTAAATATATATGTCACATTTTATAGCATTTGTAGCAATATTTGTAATAAACTAAGAGACGTTTTTAATTTTAATAATTTGGGGACATAATCAGCGTCGCCAACTCTACGGATTTTTCCATAGCTCTACAGAATTTTATCATCCTCTACGGAACTACGGAAATTGAAGTAGTAATATACGAAATTATTAAAAACTTAAGAAGAAAAACATTTTTTATCATGTATGTGAACTTAGCCGACAACCGACAACCGAAATCACAAGCAGCTGGAAAATTAAATTTGACATATTATAATTCCGCCATTAAGCTACCTTATTATTAGAACTATGTATATCGGCTTCGCAGTTCGATGTAGTACTTCATAGAACGTGTAGATGGCGCTGTTACATAATTACTAGTTTACTTTAATCAAGGCGCGTTAACTGCTACTGCCATCTTTTGGCTAGTAACCATGTAACCGACCATATTTACACGTACGACAATAGCAATTGCTTAATTTTAATTTAATTTTTTGTTTACTTGACTAAATGACATACTACAATTGAACTTATAGCAAGAATTTTACATGACTGAAAGAATTTCTCCAGAAAATTGATCTATTCTATGACAAAAACCAAAATTTTCGATCCTTTTAAGTATGGAGATCTACGGATTTTTGAAATAGCGTTAAACGAAATTGTACGAATTTTTTTATACTAATCTACGGATTTAGAAAAATTCGAGTTGGCAACACTGGACTCAATTTGGTATGAGATATTTTACACTGTGATTTGTAGTTTATATGTTGTTATATAGACAGTGGTTGTAAATATGTTATTTGTGGAAACGACGTTACTTTGTATGTATTCTTTAGTCTTTTAAAAAGAAACATTTTTATTATGAGAGAGAAAGTAGTGTTCAAGCTATAGTTACCGACACTTCAAGTTGACACTCTAGTGGTTAAAGTGCATGAAAAATTACGTTATCGTTATGTGTAAATGTATAGATTTATCTGCATGTATAGAAGCTATTTTCGTTTGAGAGAAATAATTAAAACTTTCCGTACTAACTTGCCTTTTATTTTGTCAAGAGATTTCATACATTCCTCCATTCGGCGATTTAGAAGGTAGTTGTTAAGCAGTTGTTTTTATTACAAAGCTGTTATCGTTACATCATCTGTCCGTGTAGTGGTGGTGCAAGAATATCCACCCCCACACGTGGTCCCGTCGTTGTCGTAGGAGGTGACTGAGGGAAACTGAAACAAATGATGAGCTGCAAAAAGCGGTGGTAACTATGGCAAATATTTTCCCTATAAGGCAATCTACATTTATATATATGTATATATATATATATATATATATATATATATATATATATCTACTGCTATTGAGTCGTTGAGAAGTAGCAAACTAGAGCCAATGACAGATCCCGGTTGTTTGATAGTGAAATTGCCGAAATTCGACCGCAATTCATTACATTTTTAGGTATCTATATTAAGGTGTATTACACTTTCAACTGCAGATTAATACATAAAACACAGATATCCAGTATACAAAATATAAAATAAACGCTTCTCTGCTTTTTTTTTGTCTAAGACGTAATGAATATACTCTTTGGTACTTAGGTTTATACGTGGTAAAGCAATGCTGGAGTTACTCGTATATTATATTTGTCGCACGAATGGGTCGGCTCGACCGGGGAAGGACCACGCTCTCACAGAATACCGAAGTAAAATAGCAGCTTAATACTGTCATCAGGGTAACAACACATCTTTATTTTGATTACATATTATATATTATCATATATTTATTTATATATATACATACATACATAGCATCTAAAAAAAGTAAAGTAAAGTTACAGCCTATATACGTCCCACTGCTGGGCACAGGCCTCCCCTCATTTCTAAGAGTTGAGAGGGTTTTAGGGCGAGGAAGTGTCCGCCGTGTTGCGCCAATGCGTTTTAGCGAACTTCACCTGTCTTCGAAATATATTTTTTTCTTATTCCTCAGACATGCAGGTTTCCTTACGATGTTTTCCTTCACCGCCGAGCACGTGGTAAATCAGCAGCACTTAAAATTGCTAATAAACAATTTCACATTGGTGCCGGCGGGGATCGAACCCGGGTTACTCGCGTTCTGTTATATTTACAGCGAGCGTTAACCATCTGAGCTACCACGGCTCCAGCTCTCTCGGCATAGCTTCTGATTTTGTTTAAACCACCAAAAAAGAGATGCCAGTTTCAAACATCACAGATCAGTAATAAAAAAAAAACATTTTAAACAGTACAGATAAACCCATACAACATTATAAATATAGACAACTACTTCATACATTTTATTAATTGTTAAAAAATATCCATAAATAAACTTCCAGGAATTGATAAACATAGGTAAAAATAAATCAAGTTTTAAGTAACACGCGTTTATTCAGACGTAGGTAGTTTTGTTTACAATAGTAAGAGGCCGCAGGAATGTACTTGTACGCCATGAATGTTGTTGTATCCACGATTTGTTCTGCAACCAAGAAGTCCACACTTAGGAAGAATGAATGTTTGAAAGGAAAGTTAATTTACTCGGAAATTGTAAGTTGGGTTAATGTTCCATTCTAAAATATTAGTTATATTATTTTACATGTATGAAATCAGAAATAATTGAGGATAAACCAATTCTAATTTCATAAATATAACCGAAAAAATTAAAAAATTATTATAAAATATACAAAAACTTAAAGAGGATTGTGTAAATCTGTAAATTTTCATACAAAAAGCGATAACGTTTTCCCTCCCGTAAACATATTCATATTTTTTGGAAATTTTGTACATATAATGAAAAACTACTTACATACGTTTTTATTTTAAGGAAATATTGCGTACAATATAAGTTATTAGCATCTAAATATCTATATTTTTGACTTAAAAACTTCCTCGAGCGTTTTTATTTTTATTTAACTAAACTGAATTACTAAAAAAGTAACGTGTGTAAGAACGTACAGACCTAAATGAAGGTATACTGAATCTAATGAGACCAAAATTCTCTCATTTCCTAAAGATTTAAGGAGGAAAACATTATCGCTCGAAACAATATTTTAAAAAGAATATGTATGCAATTACTTCCAACATTTGCAACTCTCTAGTGCACAACGCCTCAGCAAACGATGTGAAACAGATGGCGTTTTTGAAAATACCTACTTGCACCGCGTATCGACAGTTCACAATCCTCTTAAAGAGTAAACCACAGAGGCATTGTTTTGTGTATTTGTAGACTCTGGGAATGGGAACTGATAATTTTTTTTATTTAAAACGTAATTTCTCAATTATAATGACACTGTATAAGAAATAGTTCACCTTAGTTTAACTACCGACATCTGATGATCGTAAAATTTACTAACCCCCATTAGCGACGTGAACGTGCTGGAAGTGGAGCGGCTTGCGTCGAGGCCGGGAAGTGACCGTGCGTGCGCCTATGATTTTGCAAAGCTGTGCCCTAAAACATGAACACATTTTTAATAGAATGAATTTTTTTTATATAGAATAAGGCTGACAAACGAGCACACAGTCCACCTGATGGTAAGTGGATGCTGTAGATCATAGATATCAACATTTATATTCGATTAAGAATCAAAACGCAAATACTTTGTCACCCCTGAGGACCAAGATGGATTGCTTCGTTTCCAGTAAAAAAGGGTCTCCGGCTCTCTACACTCACCATACGAAACACAGCAGTATTAAGCTGCTATTTTAGGTTGGTATTCTGTGAGAGCGTGGTCTTTCACAACGGTCGAGCCGACCCATTTGTGCTACAACCATAATATAACTGCAGCCTGGAACTACTACATAAGATATGAACGTGACAAACGAGCACACAGTCCACGTGATGGTAAGTGGATGCGGTGGCCCATAGACATCTACTATTAAAAAGTTGTAGTGGAGGTAATTTCAACATTTTTAATAGTATATATCCATAGGTTCAAGTAAATAAAGCTATTACTAGAAGCGAGGAAATATTTCACAATATATAATTTTAATTTTGTTTCTAGCGCATATCGTATATAGCATAGTATATCAAATTGGTATCTTTTTTAAACGAGGGTGACAAACGAGATCACAATCCACTTGATGGTAAAAGGATGCTGTGGTGTATAGATTTATCCTCAATTAAGAATCAAAACGCAGACCAGTTATCCCCTTAGGTCTTAGATAGAATGCCTCGTTTCCAGTAAAAAAGTACCTCCAGTTCTCTACACTCACCACACGAAACACATCAGGTATTAAGCTGCTATTTTACGCTGGTATTCTGTGAGAGCGTGGTCCTTCCCCGGTCGAGCCGACCCATACGTGCTACCACCATCATATAGTCGAAGCGTGGCCCTGGCACGGATAAAAACATAGACACACAGCAATGATAATCTATGATACAATGTTATGATTAAAACATAATATTATAATTATTAACAAATAGGGCATAAAATAATATATACAATAGGGTAACGTTGTACAGAACAGACCCGCCGCCGGGGTCAAAAAGGCTCGTGCATTCGAGTGCCTATTTTTTCTGACACACCATGACACCTTCGCATTATGGACTCAGGGGATCCGTTACAGAA